TATATATATATATATATATGTCAGAATCATAATGGCAGTGTTTTTTTTTTCCAAGGGTGGGGTAGATACCTGCACAAAGGCTCTGGAGTCCTGGTGTAGCACTGTAGAATAAACACTGGACTGCTAACCACTAGGTCAGTAGTTCAAACCCATCAGCTGCTCCTTAGAAAGTCTACTTGTTGTTAAGTGCCATCCAGTAGTTTTTATTCATAGTGACCCTAATTGTGTTTCTAGTAACAGCTGGTGGGTTTGAACTGTTGACCTTGTGATTAGCAGTCCAGTGCTTATCCTACAGCGCCACCCTAGGACTCTTGGTAACAACACACAGGCTCTGGGATGTCACTTTCAAAGCCTCTAAAAAGTCTTTTGGACTTTTGATGTGGTGCCGTAAGATGAGCACTAGACTTCGAACTACAAGGTTGGCAGTTCTAGCTCACCAACTGCTCCTCAGAAATCCTAGACAGGGTCATTACCGGGACCAATCGATGGCAGTTAATCACAAAAGTCTTTAAGATTGGTCTACTGAATTTTGTCTGTTATCCAGAGCTTTAGTTTTTTTCCTCTCAAATATCCATTTTATTCACACCTGAAATATTCCAGATGTTGAAATGCGATGCACACACATACACAAATGTTGATAAACATGTGTCCCCCCCCCAAAATGCAACAAACCCAAAGCCCGCTGCCAAGAAGTCAATTTCAACTCATAACAAAATGGACACAGTTATATGTATGTATAAATACATGTGTTGTCATTAAGTATGGTTGAGTTGGTTCTGACTCAGCGACCCTGGATAGAATTTCTGAGGTGTCACTGGTGGGTACCGATCACCCACCTTGCGGTCCAGTGCCAGGACTCCAATACATGTCTAGTACTTTTTCTTGTTTTCTTTCACTATGTTCATTTTGCTGTGAGTTGTAATTGACTTCTAGGCACATTCAAAAACGTGTTCATTTTTTGCTGTCTAAATACATATACATAGTCATTCAACAAAAATTTGTTAAGCACTTAACTATATGCTGGTAGTTCACTGGGTGTGGAGAATACCAATACAAGCTGAAAAAGTCACGGTGGCCCATTTATCATTTATTATTTGTAATCTATCAAAGTCACATGTGTTGAAGACCTTTATAAGGTTCTTGTGTTGTTTTTTAAAGCTTGATATTTTCAACTAAAGAAACCTAAGCTTGTCTATAGTTTTCAATGAAAATTTCATATAATGGATAAAAATCTGTAACCTTACTATATAGAAATGATCATGGTATAGTAATTAAGGAGAAAAAAAGAAATCCCAAAATAGAAACACTCAAGAACACCTATAGTAGCAGATTGCTAAATTGACTGTTCGTTAAATGTTCTATGTGCATTATCAGTATCTAGAGCTATAGAACATTTTTGTAAGAACAGATGTTTATATGTTAAACTTTGTCCTTGAACAGAGGTCTCTTTTGAATAAATTATAATTTGGACTACAGAAGGGAATTAAAAACAGGTATATTCCCTTTCCAATGAAATATTTCCCTCCATTTTACAAAACTCTTGTGAGTGCTAAAAACTCCAACTTCAGTATAAATGCAAACCAATAAATTGTTTTTTATGTAGACTTGGCAGTTTTGTTACAATTACTGAACAGATGCTGTCTGCAGTTCTTCCTGTTCCTCTTTGCATCCCCCTGTATAAAAGTTAGAGAAGTAGAGTTGGGTTATGGCATCTTAATCATTATTCTGAGTCTTCTGGTGTGGGGCTGTGGAATAAGGCACTGGGCTGCAAGTTCAGTTTGAATCACAAGGTTGATGGTTCAAACTCACCAGCCACTCCTAGGAAACCCTATACAGTGTCACTATGAGTCGGAACCTGCTTGAGGACAGTTAACACCAATAACAGTACTTAGGGCACTGAGTTAACCTCCATATTATTCATGATAACACATGTCTTCATCATTTCTTTGAGCGGTTCACAGATTTTTTCTTTTTTTTTTCTTTTATATGATCTGGAATTATCCAGCTTTAGTACTTCTATCCTATTAAACTCTTTGGCGTCATGCACAGTCTTCCTAGAGTCTTTCAGGAATTAAACCTTCCTTTCTGGGGGTGGGGATAGATGTGTATATCACTGATATAGCACAGGGAGGCAATCTTGATGCTTGGACTTCTTTACATACAAGTGATGTCATCATTGTCTCTCTCAATTCCTTTTATGCTTTTATGGATCATTCCTTTCCATCTTAACTGTGATATAGTCATTGTCCTTGCACATCCAAGAGACCCAATAGTATGGAGGTAAGTTGAAAAAGATTGAGGATGAAAATTGGTTTGTGGAAAAAGTCTGCATGTTGGATCCCTTATTAACAACAGCAACAGCATCATACACAATAAAATATATGGGTTTAAGGGAAATTTTTGAAAATAAAAAGTTGCAGGCATATATTTGAAAAGGGAGGAAGGTATAATTTTTTACCATGTGAAGTGCTTTTATTTTTAATTTAGAGAAAAGGAACCTTGACTGTGTAGTAAACTAATGCAGAGCTACATGTAAAAAATATGATGATGAAATTGGAAATATGTATCATGTATCTCATACAAAGTCTGCCCAATCATTTTTCTTTACTGTTTTTCCATTCACACAGTAATGTCTGTTGCATTGTTTGAGGCTATGATCAAACTTGAGACATGGTATGGTGCTGTAAGTTTGGTGGTTCAAACCTATCATCCACTCTTTGGAAACTCTATACAGGGTCACTATGAGTCATAACCAGTTTGATGGCATTTGACAACAAGAGTCCTGGTGTGGTGTTGTGGGTTAGTGTGCTGGACTACAAGATTGGTTTAACCATAAGTTTGGTGGTTCAGACTCACAAGCGCTCCTTGGAAGCGCTTATACAGGGTCCGAACCAACTCAATGGCACTTACCAACAACAACAAGATCAAAGTGAGTAAAAAGTAATTACATGCGCAGTTTGCAAATTCGATCATTGAGAAAGAAGGCCAATGTCACAGAGCAAGTTAATGAACGAAATCAGAACTGGAATTCATATCAACTGATTTCATGTTCTCTACTTCTTCCCCATTCCATCCAGTCTGTATCCTGGATGGAATGGGGAAGAAGTAGAGAAAA